TGTGCATTGTAGGATATGTGCCAATGTCTCTGGCCTCTATCCCCTCAAGGTCTGGACACCTACCCAGTTGTGACAACACAAAATGTCTCCTGACATGGCCAGAGGTCCGCTGGGGGCACCATTGACCCCAGGAGGGAACCACTGCTCTAAGCAAAGGGGGTTGGTCCTAGCCTTGGGAAAATCCGTGGCCCTCTCCATAAAATTGAGTCCCCCATGACGGAGAGTCTCCCCAGGGGCAGGGCGGGCTTGCCTGGCCTGCAGGAGCTGCCCGTCTATAAAACACACCTTACCAAATCACCTTCTGTCACCAGAGAAATCCCTATAATCAGCTGGTTCTCTTGGACGGGTCCCTGCAGCCTCCTGACTGACACAAGGCCCTGGAAATGGCATGTGAACCCCTCGCTGAGGACCCTGACGTCTGGCCGGTAGGGACCGGCTAGCTGGCTGTGGGTTTCCGGCTCCTCACCCATGAGCACAGGTTTGGGGCTCTGTTCGGGCCTGGGCCCATGTTGGCCTGGGGATCCCTGCTCCACCGTGTGGAGGGCCCCACCTATTACTTCCCTTCCTTGGGTCCCAGTTGGCTCATCTGTAAAACGGGGCAAACATTGCTTATTCTCAGTAGGAGCAGACGAGATGGTGGCCCAGCACTTAGCTTGGTGATCGGCCCATGGTAACAAAGAAAGCTCGGGCCGCCTGATCACCGGTGCAGGCCCCGGACTCGGCCAGACCCGCTCCTGGCCCTCCCTCGCCCCTTCCAGGAAGCTGCCTCAGGGAGGCGGAAGGAAGGGACCTGAAAGGGCAGTCAAGCCCACAAAAGGGTTTCCAGCTCAGGGCTCGGCCTGTGGAACCACAAGCCCTTTGTCTGCCGCCTCCTGGTGCCCTTTCCCCAAGAGCTGCTCAAGTCTGAGGGCTTAGCTGGCAGTTCTGGAGGCCCAGCCATCTGCCCCCACCCCTGGCATCCCAGCAGCCCTACGGGGAGTCTCTCCCAGGCCTTGGGGGGAGCTGCTCATCACCCCGGCCACCTCCCAGGGTTGGCTGCCCCTTCCCCTCAGCTAGAAGTGCCGGCGTGGGGAGCGCCCGGCACATCACACGGGGACGAACGCGTCGTGCCCCTGGGTGGGCGCGTTGGATCAAGCTAACAGTGCACGTGGCCGTGAGCTGGGAGACATTTGGGAGAACCAGGGCCAGGTAAGGGGCAGAAGCTGGATGGGAATAATGAGGAGCCCAGGGGCACCCAGAGCCAGGGGAAGGTGTCCCTCCTCTGGCATCTCTATGGCGGGGGAAGCGGGGGGTAATGGGCAACAGCGGCAACAAGGGTCATGCTCAGAATTTGTCCCTGGGATTGAGTCTGGCCTTGGCTGCTAACTCCCTGAGTAACCTCGGGCAAGGTGCTAAACGCATCCGCGGCTGATTCTTCAGCTGTAAGATGGGAATAAAGCAGGGATGTGATGCCCGAGTGAGTGCTGGGACAGCAGGTGTTTTATGAGTCCCTGGATGGTGCAGGTGGGAGGGGACCGTTTTTAGAAGGAACCTAAAAAGAGCTTAGGCAAGTCCACCCAAAGGCGGAAGGAGTGGGGCCTCCTTGCTTGTTTTTCTGCTCTAGGCAGGTGCTTCGGCGTCTTGCCCCCTTGAAGCGCCCATCTCAGGCAGGACCTGTTTGCTCTTTTCCTCCCCACGTGCCCAGGGCTGTTGAGGGCTGGGGGAGCCCCAGTATTTAGGATGTAGTTATACTTTTAAAAATGCATGGTTTGATATTTACTTCAGTAAAAAATTGTTTATCTGAAATCCTGAAATTTGTTTATCTGGTAGCCCTCCTTGAGAGGCGTCTGGGAATATCAGAGCCCGAATGAGCTGGGGTTAGGAGCAGCCTGGAGCTTGGCTGGAAGACCATCGGGCCATCTCTGTCTCTTTTCTGCTGTTCTGTGTTCATCAGTCTTCCTCTCCCACTCGAGAGTGAAGGCTGAGGCTGGACATGGCTGCCCCATGGCTCCTGGGAACATGTGACAACACGGGGCACATGCAGGGCCTGACTTGCCCATCTCTGGCTGAGAATGACTGGTGTATCTTGGGCCAAGGCCCATCTCTAGTCCACCGGGCTCCGTGCAGCTGCCTCAGCCTCACCCAGGTGCGCTGGGAGAGGGGTAGTGGTGAGCGGGTACCCCCTGCAGGTGGAGGGCCCCTGTGAGAAAGATGCCCCCTGCCCCCCGCTTTGAGTCTTGCACCACCGGTAAGGCAGGAGGCCTCTGTCCCGGCAACTGGAACTGAGGGGAAGGGAGTGGTCCTGAGCTCGGGTCTGAGGACAGGTGGACGGAGCGCCTGTCCAGGAGACCGACGTGTGCATTCTGAGTGGGGGTGCCCCAGCCACTGGAGGGCTGTTCCACAAGGGGAAGAGCTGACCACTTCCGAGGGACAAAGCTGGGTAGACAGCAGGAAAGACTTCCTAGCTGGGGGGGGCGTTGGACCTGGGAGGAGGGATGTGGCAGGGCGTGGAGGCCGGGCAGGTGTTGAGGGAGATGGTGGTTTGGGAAGCCCGCCTCCTTCCTGGCATCCAGCAGAGGTTTGGGGCTCCCCACACCCCACAATACGGGGCCTCCAGAGGCCACACGCCGGTGTTGGTGCATGGATGGGCAAGCGCGTCACCGCAGGGGCCACCAGGCGCCTGCCCCGGGCACCTGCGCTGGAGCACCCCCAAGGCACCAGGGCCCCCCCGCCGGCTGCCCAGCCTCAGGCTCCAGAACGCAGCTCCCATCTGCCCCGCTGACGGCCCCATGCAGTCTCTCCTGCCTCTCAGAACCGGCTTCATGTGGGGACTGGCCCCGAAGGAGCTATGACCTCAAGGTCCCGCCCTGGTGACCAGACAGCCGACAATGACCCATGACCCACGTGTGGATGGCCACTCAAGGAGGCCACCTGCTGGGTTCTGACAGGGGCCTGGGTCCCACAGCCCAGAGATCAGGTGACTCCGGGCTGGTACGAAAGGCCAGGCCAGAGCACCCCTGAGTGCTTGTTAAATAAGGGTTCACACACATGAACCCGCATGGTCCCTGTCACCAAGGGGAGTGGGCCCTGGGTGCCCCCAAGCCCCCTCGCCCCAATTTTGGCCCCCTGTGGTGCACTATGCAAGTCTCCACAGTGCCGGGGTGCAGGCAGGGCAGAGGAAGAGGCACGCAGTGCTTGCTGGGGGACCATGCAGGACTTCCTGGGAGCCAGCTCACAAGCCAGGGACTGTGCTTTGCAATCAGTGGGTACGACTGCCCTGAGCTGGCCCCTTACCCACCTCTTCCTCCTCTTCCTCGGTTCCCCACCCGTCCTCCTCTCTTCCTGTCTGATCCTGGCCAAGAGGCAATGACTGCTCTCCCTCTTCAAGCCGACACTGTCCCATTTCTGACCATCCTCATGGCCATACGGGGTGGGGGGCATTGGGAGGTGGGGGGGTCCCCCCTTGAAGCTGCCCGCCTATGAAAGTGGTCAGGAGTCTCATACTGAAAACAGGTTTTTCTGTTAGCAGTCCAGGGGCAAGAAGTGATACACCGGAGCTCACCCTTGGGCCCTGGGGAGCAGCCCCCCAGCTTTTCTACGACGCCGGAGGAAAACAGCCAGATGCGCTCATCACAACGTGTCCTCACGTGTGTTCTCCAAATACCCTTTACTACGACAGATCACGTGGCACGTCTGAAAACACCCATAATTTTGAAGTTGGGGCAAGTGTGAATTTCAGGATATTTGGGACAATTGTCATCATCAAGGTCACGGGCACTGCTGATGAGCTGGGTGAGGTCACACTCACATGTGAAGGAAACACAAAATTTCCAGTAGAAAACAATGAAAATAAACAGGTGACTTTTTCCCCCCCAGCCAAGTTCGTGGATTCTCTGAAAGTTGCCCACGGACCCCAGGTGAAAACCACAAAATGGGTCCCAACCAGCATTTAAAGGATAAGAAGCAGAACAGAGAAAAATGTCAGCATATGTCTGGGGTTCCCAGCCCAAGCAAACCCCAGCCTTCCCTCTTGCTGCTGTGTGACCCAGGCCAAGCCGCTGAGCTCTCTGTGCCTCAGTTTGCTCGTTTTCCAGATAGGAGCCACTGAAGGCCCGTGCCCACAGGGCAGTTCAGGTGCAGCTGGACCTGGCACCCCGCACCAGCAGCCAGCATTTGGCTGTGTGCATGCTCGGTGGCAGGGTGCAGAACACATCTGCCTGCGGTCACTGCCCCAGTGTTTGCAAGCCTCGTCGCTAGAGGTCCCTGGGACTCAGATTTCAGGCTCGGGATGGGGCTACAAAGAACGGGCAAGGTCTCGGGTCTGCATTAATTCCCCAGGCTGCTATCACAAATTACACCTCCTGGAGCCCTGTCTTCAGCTGCCTCTGGCCCTCGCCTTTGCCCATGCTGGTCGCTCTGCCCAGTGTGCCCTCCTTCCCTTGTCTCTACTGGACTAGGTCTCCCTCTGCCTTCAGGCCCAGATACTGCCTCCTTCAGAAAGGCTTCTGTGCAGCACAGCCCCGTCGCCCTGCCTCTACGCAGGTGCCCACACACGATGCCCTACGTGTGTCCCCGTCAATGCAGAGGCCACCACCTGCTTCTGCCTCTGCCCCCTACAGGGTGCCCTTCAGCTGGACACCTGGCCTTTTTTAACCGTGAGTGGCTGGGGGAACCCAGGCCCCGGCAGATGTGTGCTGAGCGAGCGAGGAAGTGAATGGCTGGGCTTCCCTGAGGCCTGTCACATACTCAGAGAAGACCAGGACGGAGCCTGGGCAGTCAGAGGCCAGCTGGATGGGCTTGGGGGAGGGGCGGGGTGGAAGGTGACCTTGGAGCCCAGACTCCTCAAAGATGCAAGATCTTTGAGGCCCAAGATCTGCCCAGGCAGAATCCCCGAGGCCTGGGGCATGGGACCCGCTCCTTCCTCACCCTGCACCTCCACCCCAGAGGCCTTGTCCCCTCCCACCCCAGCTGGGAAAGCTTTGGTCACACCCTGGACCTAAGAACCACACCTGGACACACCATTCTTGCAGAAGCTTTATTTATTGGCGGATTCCAATTGGAGGCTCAGACTCAGCTATTCTCAGCCCCCTTGGCTCAGCTGGAGTCTGTCATGTCTCTAGTACAGTTAGTTGGTTGTTCAGTGGTCCACTCCTCATCCTCTAGAGGGTAGTCCCACTGAAAGCAGAGGCCCGAAAGGCCTAAAAGCTTATGCTGGCCACAGATTCCCGTGAGTACCTTCCCGTCCTTATCGGGGAAGACGATGAAGGTGTTGCCACTTTCCCTTCCAAACATGGCATAGCGCCCTTGATCTGTGGCTATGATCAGGAACCGGATAAACACTCTGTAGGAGCCATAGATCATTTGGATGTGTTCTCCGGGCTGCAGGATGAATTCCTGGGTAGTCCCACCTGGGGCACCGAACACTGTGCTCCAGGACACGCCACATCTCACCTGGATACTGGGACACGGGAAGAGTTGGAGGCCCAGAGTCAGGCTGACCCACCACGCCCCGGGCGCTCGATCCCCCTACAAGGACAGCAGTCCTGTCACGATAAGTCAGCGGCCCCACCCCATGGACAGAGGTGCTGCTCTCAGACCCCCGCTCTGATGCTTTTGGGCTCTGTGAGCTTGGGCTCATTACCCAGCCGCTCCAGGCCTCAGTTTCCTTATCTGAAAAGTGGGAGTGGTTTGGGGGGGCAGGCAGCGAGATCATTTGTAAGGGGACCCTCAGGTGATGCCGGCCGCTCTCGATGTGCACAGTGGGGAGCTGTCACCAGCCCAGCTTGGACTTTGAGCCCCAGCTACCGGCGAGACCAGGTCACAGGCCTTAGAAGCAGGTGACTCCCACGGTGACCTGGGGGAGTTCCACTAGCTCTGCTCATCGGGGCTTCCCTTTTCCCCCACACGCCTCCTCCCCCCGGCCCTGGCCACTGTGTCCCATTAGCCACCTGCTGCCCTCCCCAGGACCCTGGGCATGCAGAGCACAGGTCCGCCCAGGCCTGGAGCTGCGGCCGGGCTCTCTGCCTCCATACATGTCTGCTGACTGGTGTTCTGCCTGCAGTCCTTTCTGACCTCACTGCCTTTCCTCTGACCCTCCCCCGGACAGACCGCCCCCTGGGTTCCCCATCGGACATCAGGGACTGAGAGGCTGTTTGGGGTTGAAGGGAGAGAGGAAGGAGAAGCGTCATCTACCCCCCTTCTTAGGTCAGCCCAGGAAGCCAGGCAGGACTTGCAGACAGAACGGGAGGGGCTGGTGGGCCTGGGAGGATGCGCAAGGACAGGGACAAACAGGAAGGTGGTGGCTGATGGCTCCAGAACTCCCAGGATCATTGGGAGCCCAGTGCAGGTACAAGGGGACGAGGTGCGAAGACCCCCGGTTCCCGAGGCTGTGGCAACAGGGCTCCAGGCCCCGCTCCTACTCACCTCTTTACCAGGCCCAGGAGATCCACAGCCACCCGGATTCCGGTGATTTCACAGTTTCTGGAGGTGCTGAAATATTTGCCTCCTCCTTGCCCGTACATCTCTAGATGGACAAGGGGACCCGGTGGGGAAGAGAAGAGCACCACAGGCTGAGGTGGAGCGTATCCCTGCCCCGAACTAGATGTGGCCCTCCAGGCAGCCGGCGCGGTCCCAGGACTGGAGTCGGTCTGCGGCGAGGGGTGAGCGTGGCCCCCCGGGGAACAGGCTGGGGCAGGGGTGAGTGTGGCCCCCCGGGGAACAGGCTGGGGCAGGGGTGAGCGTGGCCCCCCGGGGAACAGGCTGGGGCGGGGGTGAGCGTGGCCCCCCGGGGTGGGGGGCAGACCCAGCCAGACTTACGCTGTGCCCAGCAGGTGGTGCTCCACAGGAGGGTGAAAGCCAGCCACAGCAGCATGGCCTCTGAATGGTGAGTCCCAAGGCTCCTGGAGGGAAGAGGGCAGGCCACTGACTCTGAGGGGACCCCCGTCGGACCTCACCAGGCCCCTTCATGGGAGGGGAGTGCCGCCCATACCTGTCCACGAGAGTCCGTCGCCCAGTCCTGGTGGTGCACTGTCTTGTGCCTGGGTGCTCTCCACCTGGCCCTTTATACCCACCCCATCCCCTTGGGCCCCCATCCAGAAGGAAGGAACGAGGGCCACCAGGGGAACAGGAAGGAATGGTGGTCAGGCTCTTCCTGGGGGAATCCCAGAGGCATCCTGGAGGAAGCTCCCGGATGCACTGTGTTTATTGTCTTGGCCTCATGGCCTACACAAACAAAATGGGACAGTGACAAGCATTTCTCTGCCACCTCCAGGTCTCTCTCCTCAGCATCTGGACTAGAATGGGGGGCTACTGGGAGTCCCCCCAGGTTGGCCAGACAGGTCTCCACCCAACGGGGAGCTACAGGCCGGGTGCCCACAGGGGCTCCTGCCTTGTGCACAACCGGGCCCAGGACCTTATTCAGGCCCGTATGGAGCTTGGTGTCTTGTGGGCTTCCGGGAGCTCAGGCCGACCCTCAGAGAGAGCTGGACTATGTGGCCGGCGCCAGGTTTAAGAGACACCAGGGGCTGGCCCCCCATGCTGTGTCACTTGGAAGACAGTGACAATCTTTGCTTTGTGCCCGGAGCAGATGTAGCTGGGACAGGCCGGCCTCAATGGGCCTTGGGATGACCCGGGCACAGAGGATCGGGGAGAGGGCGATTCTCTAGGCCAGTGCCTCTGGGGGCTCCTGGGGTCAGGCCTAGGGGTCAGACTTACGTGGGAGGTAACGGGGTACTTCTCAAGGGCTGCAGGTCTGAGACCCCTGCTGGTGCTGCCGCTGGATCTAGACTGGGTCCAAATCTTGGCTTCCCTGCGTGTGAGTCATACTGTCCGGGGAGCTCCCACCACCCCAACAGATGGTTGGGTCATCTGTTGTCCGCAAGCTGGGATACAGCCTCCTCGTGGGCGTTATGAGAATTCAGGGATCCTTCTCCTGCAAGGGCCTGAGCACCCAGGTCTCACCCGTGCTGCCAGGTGGGCAAGGTGGTTCTGGGCCGTGTCCTTCGAAATTGCAAAAGATTGGAAACAGCACACTTGTCCATTTGGGGGGCAGTGTCGGCAGCGCCAGGGAATGCTCTGTGGGCGCAAGGAAGGAGGGATGCATGGCCCAGGAGCCAGGCTAGGTGTTCAGGAAGGTCCCATCTGGTCACAAGAAGAGGGTGCAGAGAACGGCCTCCTGTGCGCACCGACCCACTCTGGAAGCACTGGCTCACCTACTGGTTTCATTGGGATGGCAGTGTTGGGGGACTGGGGATGGGGTGGAGGCCCTGTCTACACCCCGCCGAGGTACCTGGGCCAAGGGTTAGCAGAACCCCGGGGAGCACCCCACCCCCACACATTGTAGCACAGCCCGTGAGCTGAGAACACTTCTTACAGTTCTCAGTGGTTAGAAACAATTCAAAAGAATAGCACTTTGTGACACATGAAAATCCTGTGAAACTCCAGTGGCATTGCCCATAGATAGTGTTCCAGGCACACAGCCAAACCCATTCATGTCACCCTCACAGAGCTGAGCAATTGTGACAGACACTTTGTGACCCAGAAAACCTGCCTCGTGTATCCTCTGGCCCTTAACCCACAAAGTCAGCGATCCTGGAGCCTCCTTGGTCCCCACTCTGGAAGAGAGGCAGCCTGTCCCCAGCATTTACCAGCCAGCCCTCCATGGGGAGAGCACAGAACTGCTTTGGACATGGCCCTTCCTTCCTGGCCTGCGCTGGTCTCTCTGGAGAGGCCTCTTAGGGCTCAAGCACCCCTACTGACTCATGTTGAAAGCTAAGGGCTCCCCACCTGGCCTCCTAATGCTCCTAGCCCCTCCCAGAAGGTCTCGGGCCCACTGAGGGAAGGGGCAGGGGCAGCCGAACCCCTCCAGAGGCCCCAGAGCCTCCTGTGGGGTGGAGGTGGCAGAGGCCTTGGCAGGCGCGGCTCTGGAGGAAGGGCCTGGAGGCCACACAAAGGGGGCTCTGTTCCTGACCCTCCTCAACCGCTGGGCAATTTTGCAGGTGTTGCTGCCAACTCAAATGCCTTCTTCCTAGTGCCAGGCTGGCTGGGCTTGGCAACCAGAAGGAGGGCCTGTGTGAATCGGAACTCCAGGGAACACTACCTGGGGTGGGTAGAACCCCGGGGAGCACTACCTGGGGGACAGAACCCCGGAGAGCACTACCTGGTGGGTAGAACCCCCAGAAGCACTATCTGGGGGGCAGAACCCTGGGGAGCACTACCTGGTGGGTAGAACCCCGGGGAGCACTACCTGGTGGGTAGAACCCTGGGGAGCACTACCTGGGGGGGGTGGCTGCAAGAAGAGCCAGTTGCTGCCTAGATGACGGGGGTGCCAGGACGTGCCCAAAAGCACACACAAGGTGCATTTTCAGAGGGCAGGAGTATGGTTCTAGCAGAGGCACCTGCACACACACATGCATCCTCAAGCATGCACAGCTGCCCAGCTGCCCCGACACACAGGGCCTTGCACATGACCTGCATGGATGTACACTCATGCACACCTGCATAGGGGCCCCTTCAGGAGCCCTGCCCCCTCATCCTCCCTGGACCAGTGCTGGCCCTGGGGAGACTCAACACAGACCCTTTGTCCCTCAGGATGAGCGCTCCCCAGGAGGGGATTTGCGAGGCCTTAATCCCCCCATGGGGCTCGGCCCAGATCTCACTCTGCCAGGAGCTGGAACAATGCAGCCTTCTCCCAGCAGAGGTGAGGGGCTGGGTCAGGTCTCCCTGCTCGCTGGATGTGGGCTTTCAGGAGACCCCTCTGTGCTCTGCAGCCTGCGGCACAACAGACGAGGGCCTTGAATTCTCACTGATGCCACGCTCTAAGCTAAGCATTTTCCCCCACTTCTCCCCAGAGAAATGCAACACCTATTTTGGAAAATCGGGACACCCAACCACAGATTTTGTCTAATCTTTTATGTAATTAAAATCCCACGGGGTGCCTGGTTGGCTCAGTCGGTTAAGCATCTGCCTTCGGCTCAGGTCATGATCCCAGGGTCCTGGGATCGAGCCCCGCATCGGGCTCCCTGCTCAGTGGGAAGCCTGCTTCTCCCTCTCCCTCTGCTCCGCTCTCTGCTCGTGCTCTCTTGCTCAAATAAATAAATCTTTATTCAGCCCAAAGTCTCTAAAGGAGAACATTTCCTTGCTTCTTCCAGTCTCTGGTGGCTGTCTGCCGGCCTGGGCGCTTCTCAGCTCGTAGCTACACCCCTGCAATCTCTCCTCCTCCCTCACCTGCGCTGCTCCCCGTCTGTGGCTTCTCTTTTCCTGTCTCTGTAAGGACAGATGGTGTTGCATTTATGGCCCGTTCTATCCAGGAGCGCCTCGAGATCCCTACCTTAATTACATCTGCAAAGACCCTCATTCCAAATAAGGTTCCATCAGAGGTTCTGAGAGGACATATCCTTTGGGGGGGCGGCCACAGTCTAACCCACTACAGGGCATTACCCAGCCAGCCCGAGGCTCGGCTGGGAGCCTCTCCTGAACCCCAGAACCACCATGTCCCACCTCCAAGTGTCCAGAACCCCATCTCCAGGCCCACTGAAGCCCCAGCCACATCACCTCGTGCCTCTCTGCTTTGAGAAGCCCACCGCATAGCTGGGGTCCAACACTTTTAGAGAAGGATTACCTTTGTAAACGTCTCCTTGTTCCCTGGAGTTCGGAGGCATGTGTGTCCGGGCCCCCACCCTGACCCACACCCTACCCATCCTTCCACCTGCCTGTCCTAGAACCTGCCTTTCCAAACAGACTTCTGAAACAATATTCAAACAAAACTACGGTTACTTCCAGGTAAGGGGATTTAGGACATTTTTCTCTTCCTCCCCTGTCTTTTTCTATATTGCCTTGACTTATTTTTTTTGGTTAAGACTGTACCACTTTTACAAACTGAGAAGTGTTTTGTTTGTTTGTTTGTTTGTTTGTTTTTAAGATTTTATTTATTTGGCAGAGAGCATAAGCAGGGGGAGCAGAAGGCTGAAAGAGACGGAGAAGCAGGCTCCCCGCTGAACAGGGAGCCAGATGGGGACCCCATCCCAGGACCCCGGGGTCATGACCTGAGCCGAAGGCAGACGCCTAACTGACTGAGCCCCCCACACCTCTGAGAGGTGTTTTTTTAACCTGTAAGTTTATAAAGGATATAAAAGTGGACACCCTCTGGGTCAAAACAGGGTGGGAGGTGGATCCCTCTTCCTTTGTTGGAGGAGTGTACTGGAGTCCTCCTCGTGGTTTAAACTCCTTTGAAAACATGAAGCCCATTTGACTAAAGCACTGCACTCATAGAAACATTAGCTGAAGAAATGATTAGGAACAGGTGCCGAGATTTATAAGATTACAGGAAGATGTCGTATTTTTTTTCTTTTTTAAGTAGGCTGCACGCCCAGTGCGGAGCCCAACGTGGGGCTCGAATTCACAATCCTGAGATCAAGACCTGAGCTGGGATCAAGATAAGTCAGACGCTTAACCAACGAGCCCCCCAGGCGCCCCAAAAATGTCATTTGTAATGACATTTGTCAACAACCTAAATGTCCAATGTTCAGAAATTGGTTCAAAGTTGGGTTCTGGTGATCTTTAACAGCTTCTTCTTTATGCTCCTTTTGCGGACTTGTATTTTCTAAGGAGAATGCATTATTTTTAGAATCACCACCGTGAGGCTATTTTTACGTTACAAACAAGTCTGGCTCTGCAACAGAACCACTTCGCCCATTATCTTAAACAGCTGTCCGGAGCAGCAATGTCTGTCAGGCTGGGAATGAGCCGCCCCGGGCAGGGTGTATGCAAATTCTTCAAGCGACCACACAGTTCTTGCATGCAAAGGAGACCAGCCTGCGGGGTGGGCAGACCTGTGGTTGCGTGGCTCTGCACCTGGCCATCAGACTCCATAAGGGAGAGACCCCCTGGGGGTGTAGAGAAGGGATCCCACAGACACAGAACGGGGCTAATGGCAAAGGGGAAGCGGTGGGCCGGCCAGGGTCCTCATCCCATGCAAATAAGTATGGGGAAATAAACATTGTTTCAGTCCCCTTAACTCACCTGCATGTTCAGGTACCTGCTTATTTAGCAAACATCCATCGAGGGACCAAGCACCTGTGCCCTCCGCTCCCCTCTAGAGGAGCCCCTGGGCAG